AAACGAGCAGGGAAAGGTTTACTCTGCTCGACCGAGCAGAATGAACCTTTCTGGGAGAAAGTGTTTCTCTCCCGGGCGGCCGGGAGTCGTATTAGACTCCCAGAGCGTCCGGGAGAGTAATGACAAATAGTGTTCCTGGTTACCAGGTAACCAGGAACGCCATCTGTCATTACACACTGAGAACACGGAGAGGCCGCTCTCAGTGTGTAATAACAGCGTCCCTGGTTAGCTGGTAACTAGGGATGCTGATCTCTCGGAAAGTGGCCGGGGCCAGCCGTTAGATGACGGCTGGCTCCGCCCAGCTGTCAGAAGCAGGCTGTCGGCCGGCCATTCGTCCAGCTTCGACTTTCACTGCGGCTCAGTCGAGCCGAGGCATATGCCTTCGGCTCGACTGAGACGCTCGGCCAACTTCGGGAGCTGTACGGGCTATAGTGGGTCCTGGGGCCGAAGCTTCCAGAAGGATCAGCCGAAGCTACGGCTAGATCCTTCGGCAGCTTAGTGAATAGACCCCTAAATGTCCAGTCCATGGCAGCCATGGCTCAGAGTAATCTTCATGAATAAAGCTGGCCATGCACCTTAAGCCCACTGAGCTGAGCGAGAAACATATTTTGATTTCCCCATTCAGAATACAACACCTGGCCAACAAATTTCCACCTGGCTCCTTCAACAAAAGTAATTTGAAGAACTGACTTTTGTCCACCAAGATGTTGCCAGCAGGGCCACCGACTGAACAAATTTCAAGCTGGCCATTGACTCATGACATTTAGCGGCAGGAAAGAAACGCTGTGAGGGACAGGTCTGGATGGAAGGTGAATATTGCAGCAAAAGCTGTTTTTTTATTTTGTTCTATTTGGCTAAAGTTCTGCCTAACAAGTTAAAGATAATATGAGATTTTAGTGATTGGGTTTGAGATTTACTTTAAGCATTAGGAAAGGAGATATCTTAAAACCACATATCCACATTTCCTACTCCAGACTTTGGAGATAAAAAAAATGTCAGCATGATAGCAGAAGAAAACAGGCTTTGGCCAGGCGACATCATGTAGTAGTTAGGGGGCCATGCATGCACAGTAGATTTCCCATCGACCTGACCCAAATGGAAAGGCAGTTGATTTATGAGACCAGAATTGACAGCTTTCCTATGAGAATGAATAAGAAATCTACAGCGCATGCACAACCTGGCCAGGATACTTTCCAAAGAGATGCTGTGTGGCCTCCAGAGCGAAAAGCTCTGTAGACAGGTAAGTGGTGGATTTAGAAGGATTCCGGGGACAACATTTTAAGCATAACTGTACAGTTATCCTTTAATGGCTCTATATATTCAGATGATTTGTGAGATAGAAATTAAATGCATTCCCTAAAAATCTAATTTAAGGTTTATGATGTTAGTTATTTCAAAAGTCATTTTCATTATGTTTAAATGTGCACCTTTCATTAAAATAACACCTTGTGATCCTGCCATGAAGATACTTGTTCAGACTATTCATGTTATAGGTGACAACTCTCTCGATAAATTCCCCCCTCTGTGTCTGTCTCCCAGCTGTATTTTTATGGTAACTTTCTCACATGGCCTTCTGATAGAGACTATGGGGTTATTAACTAAGCTGCCGTAGGCAGCCGAGTGAATGACCGACCTAAAGCGAAGTGAGCCGAACGCTGTTCGGCTATTCACTTCAGGCTGGTATGGCTGATTTCAGCCGTATATCGGCTGAAATCAGCCGTACATTGTGTGGATTCACGTGGCTTCAGGTCGGCCGAACATGCATTCGGCTCGGCTGTACTGCTCGGTCCCTCTGAGGGACCGAGCAGAACAGAAAAATTGTTAAAAAAGTACAACATTTTTTTTTTAAACGATTGTGCGGAGCTAGCAATGACAGCTAGCTCCGCACAACAGTTTTCTATTGGCCGGCGGTTCTGCTGTCGTAAAAAAAAAAGAAAACAGAAAAAAAGAGAAACAGAGCTTTTTCTTTTTTTTTCTTTATTCTAAAACGGAGCGATGTCAGAATATTAAAAAAAAAAATTGCCCATAGGAATGCATTGCTAGATTCCTATTGTCTATTTCAATTTGCAATAGCCAATAGTAAACTAGCATTGCACCCGCCCTCTGCTGATGGAGAACTGCAGCAGAGGGCGGGTGCAATGCTTATTTACTATTGGCTATTGCAAATTGAAATAGCCAATAGGAATCTAGCAATGCATTCCAATGTGCAAATGTTTTATTTTTTTTCTATTCTGACACGGCTCCGTGTCAGAATAAAGAACAAAAAGGAAAAAGCAGTGTTTCTCTCCTGGGCGGCCAGGAGCGGGAGACTCCCGGAGCGCCAGGGAGAGTTTGCTGTCTGGAGATCAGTGTCCCCGGTTAGCTGGTAACCAGGGACGCTGATCTCTCTGCAAGTGACCGGAGCCAGCCGTAAGATCACAGCTTGGTCGGCCGCTCGGCCAGCTTCGGCTTTCAGCGCAGCTCAGCCGAGCCGAGGCATATGCCTTCTGCTCGACTGAGCCGCTCGGCTAAGTTCGGGAGCTGTACGGGCTATTGTGAATAGGTCCTGGGGCCGAAGCTAGCCGAAGGATCGGCTGAAGCTACTGCTAGATCCTTCGGCTGCTTGATCACAAATTAGGCAGGCATGGTCCACTGTTGTCAACACCAGGAGACCCATTCTTATAAATGCCACACGCTGGAGTGCATACATGCAAACAGGAAGTGGCTGCAAAGAGACTGCAGGAGATCGTGTCACAGAAATAAAGCAAAGGATAAAACAACTGTTTTATTAAAATGTCAATTGTTTATGATACATACAGTACTGTAGGTGGTTGCTATTGTCACTGTAATGGTCTTCCTTTTTCTGCAGGATGAATTGATTCTTGATATATCCTAAATAACTAAACTATGCATGTAAACAGTATCCGATTCTTCAAGGGCACTCATAAATCATTTATAGCCATAAAGAATTTATTGCCATAGAGCAGGGGTAGGCAAAATCCCATCATGGCACTGTCTCCGAGAGGCCTCATAGGACTTGCAGTTCCACGGCATCCGGAGTACCGAGGTTGCCTGCACCTGCCTTAGAGTGTGCCAGTAGTTGAAGCCTTTAGCTTTAACACTGCCTCTTTGTTGCACTTTGCACTAGATTCTACTGTGTATTAGTGGACTACAGCTAAGTGGAATGAAAACAACAATTTTGTATATGCCAAACTCACTCATGAGTACGCTCAAGAGCTATGACATGGCTGTGAAGGAAGCGGAACATGGCTTTTCCAATTTTTCTCCTTTCGCGCTTGTCATATCTTCCCCAAAAATATGGGAAATGCCTTTGACATAATAAAAAGTATCTGAGACAAGTTCTATCTCAAAGTTGTCTCAGACACTTTTTATTAATTCCCCCAAAGTGTTCTGTTCCTGCTGCTAACCAATTGGTTTATGCCCTGACAAGTGCAATGAAACTGACAGCACATGAGTTGTATGTACATTCCCTGTGTCCCTATATCTGTAATGTGGTGACCTTCTGATGACTTCCATGTGACCTTTAGGAATTTGATACAAGCTGAGTGTGACAAAACGCTCAATAGAACAAATCCCATTCACTTGTCTTGAGTGCAACAAAATGCTTAAGACAAGGAATACCAATTATTTCTATGGCCCCTGATTACACCTGAGCGTTTTGCCACAAGCAGAAAAATGCTTGTCCCTGGAAAAAGTACATGAGCTACTTTTTGGTCCCATATACTTCAATGGGAAACTTTGTGCGAGAAAACAGGCATTTCCCATTGATGTCTATAGGACTAAAAAGCGCTGCCAAAATGTAGTCCATGTACTTTTTCCAGTGACAGGATATTTTGCGTGCGATAAAACACTAAGGTGTGAATAGGGGCCATAGAAATGAATGGGATTCCTTGTCCCGAGTGTTTTGTTGCGCTTAACTTTGAGTGACAAAACGTCTAGGTGTAAACAGGAGCTTAAGCTTACTACTTCCTAGCTTCACCCAGCTCCTTTCAGGATGGCACAGAAGGAATCATTTTAGTTGACCTTGCTTTTGAAGAATGTTTTGTATAGTAAGCAGGGACATCTCCTTTCTGGGTGTAACATGGTCACATCACCAAACCACCCACCCCACCTTCCTGAGTTGTGGGGTTCTTCTCATGGCAGCATTCAGGCATCTTTTGAATTTGGTGCGGCTGTGCGTGGCTCCGCCCTCACAGATACATCATCAGTTTAGAGATTCCTTCACAGGATCTGTGAATGGAGAAACTACAAGTCTCATTGCCACCACAGCAGAGGTGCTTGTCACCACGCTTGTAGTTCATTGGCACTTCCTCCTGTCCATGTTACTTAATGAATATACCAGGCAGGACTGTCCCTATAGTATTCGCTGCCTGTCTGGATCCCACTGTCAGTGGTTCTGTCTGGTGTCCCACCCAGCTCACTGACGTCACTGGTTGCTCAGCGGGGTGCATGCCAGAGTGTCCCGTTTAGTTCTTGGCAACCAGTGATGTCAGTGAGCTGGGAGGGATGCGAGAGCATCTTAGCAACCTGGGATGCTGTGGACACCCAGCCCCCCCCCTCTCCCCCACGTGATGCCGCCTTAGGCATTTGCTCCAGGCTGCCTCATTACAGGGACAGCTCTGTGGACAGGGGTGAACATCTGCAGGAGCCAGAGCATTGCACCCGCGATCCACTAATGACGGCTGCAATGCTTTACTGGCTCCAATGCAAACAAATAATAAATGCATATTCTTTCTTTTACGAACATGTGTGCCTTTAAAATAACTCCCCTTTACATGAGCATATTGGATACAGAGACAGGCTGATATAGGTAAAGTAGCATCCACCTGCACAGCTCTGCATAGGTTTAAGCCATCCTTCATCCAATTTCAGTTTATTAAGGAGGTTAAAAATTGATGAAACCCTGATGGGTTATGGTTTAGAGGCTTCATCAGACTTCCCATCATTTGCTTTTCAATCTAGATCCCAATGATCTCAAATGCTTCCTTACAATCACCTACCTGCACGGCTAATATTTTCTGAGCGTTCTCTTGAGAGGCGGCCTGGAAGTGAGCCAACCCAGCCTGGTTATAGAGGCCTCGTTGTTTGAAAAACTCCACCAGAGCCCGGTGCATCCTGCTCTGCAGTACCGAGATCTGAAATAAATAAAATAAAAAGTAAAAAAAATAAGAAGAGGAGTAAGAGAAGGAAGGAGGGGGGGGGGGGGGGGGGGAAAAAAAAAAAAAACAGAGGAGGGGAGGAAATAAGA